CGGCTAGTCTTAAGTGCGCGTTCTTTGTAATCGGTAAATGGTGAATAAATAAATTTTTTTATAACACTCGGTTAACCACGAGCATTATTGGCGCAGTCTTCGGAAAAGTGTGGAAGTAGTGAACCGCGAATTTTTACAAGTGCTTTCTTAAAAACGGACTTAGCGAAAAAAACCAAAAGTGACTATCACAAACCAAAGTGACGTATCACAAACCGAAGCTGATCCTTAGTGAACATAAGCGCAGCTTCAACAACCGAAAGCGCTTGGACACGGAGTGGCCCACGAAAGACCAACCTGAGCAACATTCATCGCGAATAACCGGATCATCGGCGTAGCCACTGCTGAGCGAATATCACGCAGTTTGTGTGATTCGGAGCGAAGGAAGGACCAAACACTCAACCTACAACCCACCAGCGTACCACAGGACTCCGGAAGATGCGAGCAGCTCTTCTGTAAGTATAAACCATTTACTTCTCGTTCATACCAAATATCACAACAAAAAGTGTAGTGTAAAAATTAAGCGAAAAGCTAGTGAAGTGAGTGTACTAAACTTGACTCTTCCTTGCTTAAATTAGTGTTCGAGGGGAATAATAAATTTGAAATGGAAAGAGATATGATCTCTCCCGATCTGATTCCGCCTCCAGAATTTGAGGAAGCGGAAGAACAGCAAAATTGCACCACAAGTGCAACAACAGCAAATATCAGTAGAACAGCTACTTGATCACATAAGAAACCTAACTGACATGCAGCAGTCTTTGATTAGTACAATTACTCAAATGAAAAACAAGGCAGATGATCAATTCCTGCAATTCAAAACTCCGGACCCCATCAAAAACCTTCCAACGTTCAGTGGGAACAAAAGGAGACTGTTGTGGGTAAGTTTCCAACTCCAGTGAGCAAACCGATTTTGTTGTGCGGTAAGCTTTAAGCTAAAATAAACAATTTATTATATCTTTTCTCTTCAATATTCCTCGCAAACTTACAATTTTGGTGACCTTAGGAAATGTTAGGATCCTATCACGCCTTCACGGGTATTAATTTGGGAATTTACTGTACTGTATATAGGCATATTTAGGTTTATGTAACAGCGATAATAATTTCATTTACTTACGATCTAATTATGGTTATAAGTAGCTTTAATATGTTCTAGTTGCGTTGAAGTTCTAACCCATGTAGTAGATGTCCTAAATTAAAGCATAAATCAGCGTAAGAATTCGGTTTCTACCGATTCCAAAGGAATACACATGTACCTGGTGTAAACAATTCCCGTGATAGCACATATTAGCATTAATCACTAGCATGGGTTTCGTTCTAATTAGTTTACGTAACTGTATTTACTCTAGGTAGGTTAGTTTAAGTTTTAGGATAATCAACTAGACTAACGTTAGACACTTTTACTGTAGAATATTAAGTTTTTATAGAACTCAATAAATCACTGAACATCTACGATCGATTTCTGAATACCGTATTGTTCGAATGATGTTTACGTTTTTCTCCTTTGTCCCGTCGTTGCCAGAGGATCGTCCGACAGGCCATTGTAGATCGGTCTGTCTCTGCCGGCCACAGTTGAGTTGCGACGGGGGGTCTCGTCGTGACATTCCGCCACCCGTAAACCCTGGTGATGCTCCTGATGCACTGGATCTCCTTGATCAGGTTTACTACTCTCCGAAACGTCGAGAACCGCTAGTTTCACTGCTGGTCGTCGCAGTACTCCAGATGCTGTCCGGACTAGGGCCTGACGGACTCGTCCATCCCGTCCAGGAATAACTTCTTCCACTCGTCCTCGAGTCCACTGGTCCCTCACCGTTCCACTCACTACCAACACCAGATCACCGATTGCTATGTCCCGAACTTCTTCGAACCATTTTCCTCTTCGTGTTATCACTGGCAGATACTCCTTCACCCATCTTGACCAGAACTCGTTGGTGATGGCCTGTGCTAGCTTCCAACTGCTACGCAGGACCGCCGGGCTATTAATAGGTTCGTTCGGCCGGATCTTGTCACCATTGGAAGATCCCAGCAGAAAGTGGTTAGGCGTTAGAGCTTCTTGGTCTGCCGATTCGAGTGGGATGTAGGTGAGCGGTCGCGTGTTGATCATCGCTTCGGTTTCTACGAGAATCGTTTCCAGGACTTCATCACTTGGTCTGCGAGGAGCGTCAGCTACGGCTCCCATTGCCACTTTCACCGATCGAACTAGACGCTCCCACGCTCCACCCATATGTGGAGCCGCTGGTGGAATGAATCTCCATTGAGTATTCGCATTCGTGAACGTAGTAGCTAGAGCGTTGTTCCTTGCCTGTACTTCTTCCCTTTTTAGCTCTCTGCTAGCGCCTTGAAAACATGTTCCGTTGTCCGAGTAGAACTCAGCAGGGGAACCACGACGTGCGATGAAACGGCGCACTGCCATGATGCACGATTCCGTCGATAAACTGTGCACGACCTCCAAGTGCACGGCACGAATAGTGAGGCAGGTAAATAGGGCTACCCATCTTTTCACCTGACTTCTACCTACTTTCACCATTACAGGTCCGAAGTAATCCAATCCGACGTAGGTAAATGGTCGGACGAACGGTTGTAGCCTGGCTTTCGGAAGCGGTGACATTGCGGGAGGACTGGGCATGGCTTTTCTCAGTCGACAAATCATGCAGGTCTTCGACACCTTCGCAATCAGAGCACGAAGCTTGGCGATTTCGAAACGTTGACGCATTTCGTTGGTTACGGTCTCTCGGTTGGCGTGGCGGAAACGGCGGTGGTACCAGTCTGTAAGAAGAAACGTAATTAGGTGTTGCCTGGGAAGGATGGCGGGGTACTTAGCTTCGGTCGGTGCAAAGGATGCGACACCGATTCGACCACGCATCCGAAGTATCCCACGCTCGTCGAGATATGGCCAGTTCTTGTAGATCGAACTTGAATTGGCAACACGGTCGTGTCGCGCTTCGGGAGACCCTTGTGACCCAGAAAGAATGGTGATTTCTTCTGGGAAGGCTTCAGCTTGGGCTACCTTCCATAGTGCTTCTTCTGAACGTTTTAATTCGTGCTGATCGAAGACGCCCAGTTCCAGCTTGGATCCACATCTTTTACGGCGCAGGTTGTTGATGAATCGGAACACGAAAGCCATTGTTCGCTGTAGCGTCGTCCACCGGCTGAATCTGGATACGTCAATTAACTGAGGAGCTGTGTAATGAGTGTGACTTGATCGAAGTTCTTCTTTAGTTGGACTGGCCTGGGATGGTTGAGGCCAGCATTCCTCAGGTTGGTGAAGAAACGCCGGACCACAAAACCATGGATTAGTTGGTAGGAAGTTGGGGCCATTCTTCCATTTGGTAGCGAGGTCGGCAGTGTTCATTTCAGAGGGGACCCATCGCCACTCGCGTGCATCAGTTGCTGTGAGAATTTCACCGATGCGAACGGCAACGAATTTGTTGTAACGACGGTGGTCTGATCGAATCCAGGCTAGTACTGTACTGGAGTCACTCCAAAAAACTCGTTGACTTATGGGATAGGTGTGATAACCTTGGATAGCCTCAAGAAGGTTGATTCCAAGGACAGCAGCCTTCAATTCTAGACGAGGGATTGAAAGAACCTTGAGAGGTGCAACCTTCGTCTTTGCGCTAATGAAGGCCACCTGTATGCCGGATTGAGTTGGAAGCCGGTAGTACGCTACACAAGCGTAGGCAGAATCACTGGCATCGACGAATACATGGAGCTCTAGCTGATCGAAATTGTCCGGAAATGGCGTTTGAAAGTAGCACCGTGGAATTCGCAAGGTATCCAGCTGGGGAAAATAACCAATCCAATGTCGCCAACGATCGTACAGTTCCTCGTTCACCGCTTCATCCCAATCGATTCCTGTTGCCCAGATGTTCTGCATCAGCACCTTTCCATGCACTAGGAAGTACGATACAAAACCCATTGGATCAAATAAACTCATGACGACTTTCAGTACTTCGCGTTTTGTTGGGATGTGGGCTTCGTTGAGGATTGGTTGCAAGTCATTTCGCATTGCAAAGGTATAGGTGAAGACGTCTTCTTTGGGAATCCACCTCATGCCGAGCACGGATTCAGTTGTTTCCGCCCGTATAAGAGAGAGATCCTTCGAGACTTCTGCATCCGCTACTCCGATTTCCCTCAGCACTTCTTCTTCATTGGATAGGAAATTTCGTATTTCGAATCCACCTTTTGAATGGACAAGCTTCACTTCGTTTACCACTTCGATCGCTTCGTGGATCGACCTGAAGCTGTCCAAGTAGTCGTCCACGTAGTGATGGTCCTTGATGGCGGAAGCTGCACGGGGATACTGCTGAGCGAATTCTTCAGCGTTCAAGTTCTTCACGAACTGTGCTGAAGCTGGAGAACAAGTGGACCCAAACATAGTAACGTTGATGACGTAGATTTGCAATGGTTGATCAGGACTGTTGCGGAATACAAACATCTGCGCTTTGCGATCCTTAGATTGTAGCTTGATTTGCAGAAACATCTCCCTGATATCTCCGGATGCAGCAACCGGAAACAAGCGAAAACCACTCAAGACCTTAGGCAGAGAAGTGAGGAGGTCCGGGCCTTTCAAAAGGTGTGAGTTGAACGAAGTCCCATCGACTTTCGCAGCAGCATCCCAAATGAGCCGGATCTTTCCTGGTTTTTTCGGGCTGATGACTACACCTAGCGGAAGGAACCAAGTGTTTCGCGAGTCTATTTCAGCAATTTCTGTTGCACTGGCCTTGTGGATGTATCCTTTACACTCGAATTCCGTTATCTGCTCCTGAACTCGCTGCATCAATGATGGTTCTTTCTGCAGCTTCTTTTCCAAGGACTTCATTCGACGGATGGCCATGGGATAGGTATCCGGGAACTCTCGTGCGTCGACTTTCCACAGTAAACCCGTTTCAAATCCGCATGATGTACGCCGTGTGGTCTCGTCGAGCAATCTTCTTGCTCTCCTGTTATCCTCAGATTCTAGTTTTTCTGAGGTAGTGGATACTCCACAGTTTTCCATCGTGAAGAAATCTCTCAGTTGTTCGTTCAGCATGTAGTCCGCATCGGGCGCAGCAGCAGTGTGGAAGTTGACTGAAGCCCTTGGTGCTGATTGCTTTGATGAACACCCATATATTCCCCAGCCGAGACGACACTTAGCGGCTATTGGATCCTGGGGACCTCCCTCGCGTAGTTTCAGTGGAACTCCAAGTCGAAGATTGTCTAGTCCGATCAGTAATTTTGGTTGGACTAGATCGTGATCCTCTAGTGGCAGGCCTTTGAGGTAAGGAAATCGTTGACTCATGTCACGGTAGTTCAGGCGTTGAGAAGGTAGAACCAGACAGCTCACTGTACGTGCCTGGCAAAGATCGTAACGAGCACTACTGTTTTTCCCCGCTATCTCAAAGTTGATTTGCTGAGACCGCGGCTCCTTGCGTGTCATGTTTCCTGTCCACTGTAGGGTGAGTGGTTTCGTAGGGCCCACAACGCCAAGGTCCTTCGCAACGTTTTCCTCCAGAAGAGTGATTTGTGAGCCTACGTCGATGAACGCGAAAATAGTTATGCTTTTCTCCTTTCCGTATAAAACTACCGGTAGAATCCGGAATAGTGGTTGATGTTCGTTAGATGAGAGTTGATTCGACGAAATGTTCACGGAATGCGATGACGAGGCGGGATTGGAATTGGAGTGGAGGAGTGTGTGATGTTTCAAACGGCACCCTTCTATTCCACATCCTTTCCATGACTTGCACGGCCATTTTCCGTGGTTGTTCAAGCACGTCCTGCACAAGCCTTTGTCCGTTACTAGTTTCCATCGTTCCTCCATACCTAGCTGCTTGAATTTTACACATTCGGCTATCTTATGGCCTTCATGACTACAAGAACAGCATGTTCGAGCTGATTTGCGTGGATTTCCGGTTGCACTGAGCTGCTTGAAGCCGGCAGAATTACCGGAAGAGTGGGTTTGAACCATTGCCCTCTCCTTTGACCGCTGCTTCTCATTTCTCGGGATTTTCTGATACCCAGGAAGCTCGAAACTCACTTCGCTGGCCGCCTTTACCAATCTTTCCATGAACTCCCCAAACGTCAGAACAGTTACTCGAAGTCGTTGGCTCTTAAATGCAGCCCAATCCATCCTCATTGGTCCTGGCAACTTCTCTACCAGTTCCTGCATGAGCATCGGGTTCGAAAGATGGTCTACTTGCTGCGCTGCTTGGAGATGATCAACAAAGTTTTGAACTGCCAGTCCAAATTCGAGGATCGATTCGGGCCGGTCATGTCTAGGGCCTGGTGTCCTGCGGATAGTTTCGAGCAGAGACCTGATGAGTAGTTCCGGGCGTCCATAAAGTGTTCGTAGAGTGTTCATTACTTGTGGCACGCTGGCTGGCAGCAGAAGTCTGCTTCGTACTGCATCTCGAGCATGTCCAACGAGACACCGTTGTAGACGAACGAGGTTTTCAGCATTGGAGTATCCACAACTAATCGTAGACTGTTCAAAACTGCTGATGAACATCGGCCAGTCCACGGGGTTTCCGTTGAAAGTGGGTAAATCCTTTCCGACCACTTGTCGGGCAGCTATTTGCTGAGAACTAAGAGCACCTGGTGGATCACGTGGCATCGGAGGATCTTGTGGTATCGGAGGATCACGTGGTATCGGAGGATCACGTGGTATCGGCGGGTTGATCAAAGTCCGTGGATAACGTACCGACGGTGGACCACGTGGAAAAGGAGGATTTCTAACTCTCGGTGGACTTTGCTGTCGTGGGGTCCGATTGTAAACCTCTCCATTGTAACTGATTCCATGGTTAGGGCTCGGATAATCCCGATGTCCATCTTCTCTCGAATGTTGATGAAACATTGGAGATGTATGTTGAGGAACAACTGGTTCGGAGACCACCGGAGAACTATGTCGTAAGGGGGTGTTCCATGGACTGCGACGCGGTGACGATGTCATGGAAACTGGATTATCATCGTGTTGAGTGCGTTGACCACAGACCGGCGAGTGATACGGATCTGGTACGATAGGAGGCCATTTTTCTCGAGGAATAGGTTCCGAGGTTGATATGTATCGACGAAAAGGTTCTCTAACGATGAGTGATGGTATCTCTAGAGGTGGGATTGTGGTTTTCCGAGGTGATGTTCCTGTACATGAGTGAGTTGGTTGAGATATAGATGAAAGGGTACCACGGCAAGTGGGTACATTCACTGACATCGAAGAGACTCCTTCGGGCAGTAGCTCTTCTGGGGCCGGAGGGACCATTCTGGAATTGTTTCCATCTTGTGGTTCCAATTCCTTCCCACCAGTCTTCCCATAAGGTTGATTAACATTCAACCATTCCGTAACTTTTTCTCGTGAGCTTGCTATGGAAGTCACTACACTACCACGTTCCGAAATCTGCAACATGATCTCCGTCCTCTTCTCCAAAGACTCTCTGCGGATAAGCTGCTGTTTCAGCAAATGTGCTTTGTCTACTTCCAGCTTTAGCTGACGCAAACGTAGCTCCTCGTCCAGCAACTTCCGCTTCTCCTCCAACTGGCGTTGTGCTTCTTCGAGCTCGCGTTGTCGGAGTTCTTCTTCCTCCTTGAGCTCTTGTTCCTTTAGTTTAGCCTCTTCCTCTGCCAGTTCTAACTGCTTCTGTACAGCCGACGACCTAGTACTGTTGCTCCGGATAGCCGATTGCGCTTTACTTCCTCTGTCTGAAGACACTTTTACCTCTGACGTCTTTGATGGCCTCCCTTCAGACGTTTTAGTGGACTGGTTACCTCTTGAACGTGGCCGCAGTATTCGGAGGGACGCTGCATTTTCCTCCTGGCACTGCTTACAAATGTATGGACGTCTTTGCACGGCTTGAGTCACGCCGGCACAAATAAAGTGCTCCCATTGACGGCACTGATCACATGCAACCATATGCGTATCTGCCCAATTTGGACGATCGCATGATTTGCATTGATACGTCGATTGGTTGTGATGTCCTTCCATTCCGACAACCCACGTACAAAATTCTTAAAGAATGTTGTGGGTAAGTTTCCAACTCCAGTGAGCAAACCGATTTTGTTGTGCGGTAAGCTTTAAGCTAAAATAAACAATTTATTATATCTTTTCTCTTCAATATTCCTCGCAAACTTACAATTTTGGTGACCTTAGGAAATGTTAGGATCCTATCACGCCTTCACGGGTATTAATTTGGGAATTTACTGTACTGTATATAGGCATATTTAGGTTATGTAACAGCGATAATAATTTCATTTACTTACGATCTAATTATGGTTATAAGTAGCTTTAATATGTTCTAGTTGCGTTGAAGTTCTAACCCATGTAGTAGATGTCCTAAATTAAAGCATAAATCAGCGTAAGAATTCGGTTTCTACCGATTCCAAAGGAATACACATGTTACCTGGTGTAAACAATTCCCGTGATAGCACATATTAGCATTAATCACTAGCATGGGTTTCGTTCTAATTAGTTTACGTAACTGTATTTACTCTAGGTAGGTTAGTTTAAGTTTTAGGATAATCAACTAGACTAACGTTAGACACTTTTACTGTAGGAATATTAAGTTTTTATAGAACTCAATAAATCACTGAACATCTACGATCGATTTCTGAATACCGTATTGTTCGAATGATGTTTACGTTTTTCTCCTTTGTCCCGTCGTTGCCAGAGGATCGTCCGACAGGCCATTGTAGATCGGTCTGTCTCTGCCGGCCACAGTTGAGTTGCGACGGGGGGTCTCGTCGTGACAGAGACCCAAGCGTGGATTGAGGATACTCAAAACACGCTTGACTTGTTTAAAGTGTACAAAGGTACACCCACATACGCGCAGATAGTTCACGCGGTGAAAAATAAAATTGTGGGCGAGGCTAAAGAAATTGTAATAGCCGCAGGGAACCCAAACAAATGGGAAGAAATCAAAGAAGTATTACTCAATACTTACGGGGACAGACGAGACCTTACGTCTCATATCCAATACCTATTTTACATAAAACAAGGTAATAAATCCCTAGTTGAATATTATAATAAAATTAAATCCATCGACACCGCGATAAAAGCAACGGCGGCAATGCACGAAGAATATAAAGGGTCGACGAAAGCCATCAACACGCTGATCAGTCTGATGACTCTCACACGTTATATGGACGGCCTCGGGGAGCAACTTTCAATGCACGTTAGAAGCTACCGACCTGAAACATTAGAGGAAGCGTATTCAATTACACGGGAGTACTCGAATGCGCAATTCAGGCAAAAATTAGATTCAAAACCAAAATACGAACGGAGCGATAACAGGCGAACGCCACAAACACAGCCTACCTCGCTACCCTTCCCAAACACCCAAAACAAACCTAACCCACAGGCATTCGCGAATAAATTTAACGGGTCAGGAAAGTTTAAGACCAACAAACCCGAATTGGACGACGATGTTTCGATGAGAACTGCCCGATCCAGAACTCAAATAAACACACATGTCGGTGGCAACACCAAAGCGAATGAACCTGAACATGACAAACCAGAATTTGACACCCCACCGCAAATGGATAACTCTGTTCTGGAGTCAGACGAGGACGACTACTTTATTGGGGAAGAACTAAATTTTCTCCAGGGTCTCACAAAAGAGCCCAAAACGTAGTTAACAACAATTTTATACCGTACATTAGCTTTTTGACTAGTTAGGGCGAAATGAAATTCTTGATTGACACAGGAGCCAACAAGAATTATATTTCAACTGACAGAGTCAAGCTAGAAAATTGCGAGACGGAAAACGGCGTAAAGGTGAGCAATATTAACGGAACACACGAAATAAAACACTCGGTTTCTTTTGACATCTTTCAAGTCAAAAAGAAATTGAAATTCTACGTGTTCAAATTTCACGAATTTTTGGACGGTCTGATTGGATATGAATCCTTGAGAGACCTAAACGCTCAATTAAATATTGGTAAGAATTCTCTTAAAATTGGTAGAAGAGAATTCAAAATGAAAAAGAAATTTTCGGAAACTCACAAAATAAACACGACAGAACAGGAGTTTCAGTATATTCCCATTGAAACATCCAAAGATGGCGATTTTTTAATATCGGAAGAAAAGCATTTCGGAAACTTTTCTATATTACCTGGTCTATACCAGAGCTCAAATGACAAAGCAGTGGTTGCCATCCAAAATCATGTAAAAGCACCTTTAGAAATCAACGCCAACGAAATTGAAATTAACAAAGACGCATTCAACAATATAGAAACATATAACAAGCCTGTAAATGCCACGGAAAATGACCCGTTCGACTTGAAAGAATTACCGGAATCAGTCGACCTCACCAACCTCAAGCTTAGGGATGATCACATGAATGAAGAGGAGAAACGTTCTCTGAAAAACGTGATCACAAATTTTAAAGACGTGTTATACGTGGAAACGGATAAACTTGCGTTCACCCACAAAATTAAACATAACATTCGTACGGTTGACCACATCCCAGTACACTCAAAATCATACAAGTATCCCTACGTGTACGAGAAAGAGGTACAAGAGCAAGTAAGGAAAATGCTAAATGATGGAATCATTAAGGAATCAATTTCCCCATACACTTCACCTGTATGGGTGGTTCCAAAAAAATCTGACGCGTCTGGCCGAAAAAAATTTCGTTTGGTAATCGATTACCGAAAACTAAACGAAAAGACCATCAACGACAAGTATCCAATCCCAGAAATTACAGACATTCTGGATAAACTGGGTAGGGCCAAGTACTTCACAACCATCGACCTAGTCTCTGGCTTCCATCAAATTCAGCTGGCGGAAGCAGACACGGAAAAAACGGCTTTTTCAGTCAATGGCGGCAAATACGAATTCACGCGTATGCCATTCGGATTGAAAAATGCACCGGCTACATTCCAAAGGGTGATGGACTGTATTCTTAGAGACTTGATAGGAGTATGCTGTTTCGTCTATATGGACGATATCATCATATTCTCCAGTTCCCTCCAAGAGCATGCGAAACACCTAGCGCTAGTCCTTCAAAAATTGAAAGATGCCAGATTGAAAATTCAACTGGATAAATGTGAGTTTTACCGGAAGGAAACTCAGTTTTTAGGTCACACCGTCTCTGAAGACGGAGTACGACCAAACAGCGACAAAATTGAGGTCATAAAAAACTGGCCGATCCCCAATTCTGAAAAAGAAGTCCGACAGTTCTTAGGAACACTGGGTTACTACAGGCGATTCATTAAAGATTTCGCAAAAATAGTGAAGCCCCTCACAGGACTCCTAAGGAAAGACACGGAATTCAAAATAACTGCAGAAATCGAAGAGAGTTTTAATAAATGCAAACAACTTCTAACACTCGACCCAGTGCTGATTTACCCAGATTTCAGCAAATAATTTATCTTAACCACTGACGCAAGCGACTATGCCATAGGTGCAGTGCTGTCACAAGGGCCAGTAGGCAAAGACAGACCTATCGCATACGCTTCACGAACCTTGAGTCAAACGGAGGAAAGGTATTCGACAACAGAAAAAGAATTCTTGGCAATCGTCTGGGCGGAGAAACATTTCAGACCGTACCTGTACGGCAGAAAATTTAAAATGTTCACAGACCACCAACCCTTGACCTTCTCCATGACAAACGCGAATCATCGCATTATTAGAGGTAAACTCGCATTAGAAGAGTTTGATTACGAATTAATATACAAACCAGGAAACAAAATGTCGTCGCTGACGCTTTGTCTCGACTCAAAGTCGAAGAGATTAATGCTAATTCACAATCGTCAGTAGAAGTGGAACCTTCAGAAGGAGAAAATGAATCTGATTCGGAAAGCGATGGAATGACCATACACTCTGCGGACACAAGCGATGACTACTACATTCTATTGGTGCGGACTACTTTCGGAGAATAAAAACACCGGAATTAACGAATTCTAAACCGCGTACTTTATTCGTGTCTTATCTTACAGAGATCTGAATTTGGAATGAATGAAAACAGCGCTTGGCGCGCAAAAGAAAAAAAATAGCATTGGGCGTTAAAAACAAAATACATCGAGTACACACTGAGAAATTGTATACCTTATCATCCCTGCTCAATTTCTGATAGTTGAGAGGTTAAGTTCCCCCCGCAATCGACAGAATGGCCCACCTGGTAGTGACTTCGTCATGATGTCTGCTACTTGCCGCTCCGTCGGAATGTACTCCATTCGTATGCGTCCCTGCTGAATCATGCTTCTGATGTAGTGCAACTTCACGTCAACATGCTTCAGCCTACCGTGGTCCTTTTGATCTTGCACCACCTTTATGGTAGACTGGTTGTCCTCAAAGAAAGTTACAGGAACAGCAAACTTGTAACCTACTTCCTCCAGAAGACGGATCAGCCACACTCCTTCACAAACCGCTGTGCTGAGCGCGACAAGTTCAGCTTCAGTGGATGACAACGAAACAGTTTGTTGCTTTCTGGTCAACCAAGTCGTCATGCAGCCGAACACTTTAAACACGTAACCCGTCACCGAACGCCGGTCGATGACACTGTTCGCCCAATCCGCATCGCAGTAAGCCGCAACAATATCCACATTGTTATCACCTCTGTACTCCAGTCCTATGTCAACAGTACCCTTAATGTACCGTAGAAGCCGCTTCAAATGTGTCCAGTGCTCCTCAGTCGGACAACTCTGGAACTGACTGTAATAGTTGACCGAAGCGCAAAGATCTGGACGAGTTGTTAAGGTTACGTACATTAAACAACCAATTAGCTCCCTGTACGGTTTCGATGTGCGCTGCGACTCTTCTCCTTTCTGAAATTTCAGGCGACACTCCATCGGTACCTTGCTTGGTTTGCAATCTGCCATGTTGAATCGATTCAACAAACCTTCGAGGTACCTGCGCTGACTAATGCACATGATCCGCTTTTCGACGTCTCTTTCAATCCGCATACCCAAGAAACTGGAAACTTCGCCAATATCGGTTATGTCAAACTCCTTAGAAAGACAAGCTTTGATGATTTGAATCTCCTTCAGGTTGCTTCCAATGACCAGAATGTCATCCACGTATAGGATCAGGTAGATCTTCCGCTCCTTCTTACCTCGCCAATACAGACACTGGTCACTGCTGCTCCTCTTGAACCCTAGCCTAGCAATGAATCGATGGAAGCGATCATTCCAAGCTTTCGACGCCTGCTTGAGGCCGTACAGTGACTTATGTAGCCGACAGACCAAATCTGCTCCTTCCGCAAAACCCTCCGGTTGTGACATGTAGATTTCCTCACTCAGATCGCCATTGAGGAAGGCCGTGCGAACGTCCATTTGGTGAACGAACATTCGCTCTTGATTAGCCACAGCCAACATAGTTCGCAACGTGTCCAGTTTAACTACCGGTGAGTAGGTTTCCGTGTAATCAAAACCATACCGCTGGCTGAAACCCCTCGCAACAAGCCGAGCCTTATATCGATCTGGACCACCTCCTTCGCCTGGCTTTACCCGGAACACCCAC